AAATTGTCTTAAAATCTAAGGACTATTATTAGATGTTCTAGAAAATTGAATTCTTATCTTTAAACCACTTTTACATGTCAGGCTTGACAATCTAATTTCCATGATAATATGGGACACACACACAGTAAGCTTAATTTTGCTCTTCATTTCACACATCAATTTTCTTTTCAAAGTCATGACCCACTTATTTGCTCTAAAATACATTATCACTTTGGCAACTTCAAAACTTTAGGCATTGTGTAATAATGTTAATGAGGAGAGTCTTACAAATGACTCAAAGAAATTTCAAGATATCTGAAGTCTTTTTTATTTACTGTTTTGAAAGATTAAGAAATGTCACTAGTTATCACAGAGCTTCATCTCCTTTTCTCCTACCTTCTAAGGGATAGAGGTATGCTGGCCAAGAATTCAGGGTAACTCACCACACCTTGACTCTCATGTCCTGCAAAAATTAGTTGTGAGGCATTCCCAATATGCATTTTTTTATTCTGCTTATTTGTCTATGTCCCTGACAAAAATCACACAGATTTTAAAGGGAATCTTTTTCTAGCAATGATATAGGTATGCATCTATTGGTAGTTTCCTTAGATTTTTTATCTAATCTGGAATATTTCATACCTAACTTTCATAGAGGGAATGACCGAAGCAAAATCAGGCTCAATATTATAGTAAACAGTGGTCATGTGTCTGAACTAGAGATCCAACCCAAGGGTGTTCAGTACGTTATGATATAGTGGACTTTTTCTGAGATTCATTTTTTGTAGCCTGAAGAACAGATGATCTTAATATATAATCTCTACAATTTCTTCAAATTATGAACTATGTGATGCTCTGATTAAAAATTCCTTTGTTAATTCCTTAAGGCATTAATTCAAATAAACAAAAATGAAGAGTTCAGACATGAATGAAAATAGAAAAACAAAAGAAAAGTGGACAAAGAAGGAGGAATATCATATGAAGATTACAGACTATTCTTTCACAAACCCAGAAACTACCAGAACCTTGGAGAACTTACCCTTTCCCAATGCCTTCCAAGGGAGCACTGCCCTGGAATCATCTTGATTTTACTTTGGTCTCCAGAATTGTGATATAATAACTCCCTGCTATATAATCCACCTAATTTGTAATGGGTTCTAGCAGCCCTAGAAAATAAATAGGTATTTTAACCTAAGACTTTGGTGTAGTGTGCTTAGGAGTAGATTTCTTTTAAGATCTCTTCCAACAAATGTATTAGTACCATTATGGACTTATAGATTTGTTCTGCTGCTGCTGCTGCTTGAGTTAACACTTCTGTGCGTAGGTTTTCCTATAAGTTATGAGGCATCTTGTTTCAAATACTTGACTGTTACACTCAATTAGCAGAGCAATTAACCTCATGATCTTCAATTCCCTGATAATAGTTGACCTAGAAAATCACAACTTTATTTACAAAGATCAAGGAAATACATTTAAGTGTAAAACAACCCTGAATAGAAGCATGACTAAGAGGATTTAAAGTTAAAGATCAGGGGCCTCAGAGCCGGGCTCCATGAGTTCACCTTCACTTCTCCTTTTACAAGTGTACTACTAAATGTCAGACTCAGTGTTATCATTTTAAGATGGGAGTTGTGATATGTTACACATATCATGCTTGTGAGTCAATATACGAATAGATCTTGGTAAAGTGTTTTGCGCATAGGAGGTGCTCAGTGTCATCAAGTGTCTTACAAAATTATGGAGCCATATTTAGTAAATTTTGTTGATTTTCTATATAACATGAAGAGTAAGTCAGTAGTTATTTCTGTGTATCAATGACTGGGTTTCTAGTTTCTGCTCAACATTCACTGTGGCTTTATACTCTGACAGCCAACACAAATGATCACAGAAAAAGTTGGTATCAAGTAGATAAGGGCTGTCAGGGTGTGAGAAGAACTTTAGAACTAGATATTATTTCTAGTGATCATTTTCCTGCCATTTCTTTTTATGAGGATATTTTAAAGCCAAAACCTTTATGAAGCATATTTCTATCTTTTACTGTTATTGGGATGTGGAAAGTAACAAAATGATGTGGGCTCTGGTGAGGGTAACCTGTGGATATGTAATCTCTGTAAGCAGGAGCAAACAATCTCAGCTTAAAAGAGGAAGCCCAGACCTAGCACATGGGACCCTAAAGTCCCCTCTGAAGACAAACTCTAAATTGAAATAATGACTTCTTACTAGGTCTCAGAACTTAGAAGTACCACATTTCTCATTCAAACTGTGGAACAAGTTCTAGCAGCCCTAGAAAATAAGTAGGTGATTTAGCCTAAGAGTTTGGTGTGGTGTGGTTAGGATAGATTCCAAGATATAAAACTTTGGGGATATACTAAAACCATATCTGAATCACACAAGCCTCAAACTAATAGATCTGATATCTTTTTAAAAAGTAAAAGATACTGTCCATTCTTTAATGGATGTTTGGTTTCCTCTGTTAAAAGCCAATCAATCCCTAGATTTTGATGCTCATAGCTTTGTAACATGTTTTGAAAATCACTACTGTGGTGTCTAAAGATTTATTTATTTACTTTTGGTCAAAATTGCGTTGATTGTGAAGTGTACTTTGTGGTTCCAGGACGTTTTTGCATACTTAACATTAAAGACACTGGAGTTACAAGAATTGCCTGCACATTGTAGATAATCATAAACATTATGAAAGTTGTAACAATATTAACTCCTAACCAGTACACAATGATATTTTCCCATTAATTTGTGTCATCTTTTATTCCTTTATCAATGTTTTACAAATTTAAGTTTGGTGATCTTTTGCTTTTTGGCTATATTTAGTGCTAAAGTAGATTGTTTTTGATGTTACTATAATGAAATTGCTTTCTGATTTTTTTCTGGCCAATCATTGTTAGTATACAGAAATCCTTCTGGATTTAAAAATTGATTTAAATATCATACAACATAGTTGAAATGTTGACTGGCTTACTTCACTTAATAAAATTTTTTCCAAGTCTTTCCATTTCCTTATGAATGATACTCATTAGACATGACAATGAAAATGAATTCTAAAACTTAGTGAGGGGAGATGGAGGTTCGGAGGGGAAAATCTGGGAGAGAATGAGGGAGAAGTTGACATTGTTCAAAGGGAAATGTACTCATTACTGACTTATGTACATGTACATCATCTTTACAATAAAATTTTATTTTGTAAAGAAGAAAGGAAAAAGAAAAGATAGAAAAGAAGATTCATGACATTGGGGTGACAGAGGTTTTCTGGAATGATCCCAAAAGCACAGGTAACAAAAACAAAAATAAACAAAGGAATTTTCATCAAAATGAAATGCTTTTGAACAACACAGGAAATAGAGAGTTTTAAAAACACATCTATATGAAACATTTGCCAAAAATATAGTATACATTGGTTAATATTAAAAATATACAAAGAACCCAAATGACTGAATAGCATAAAAATAAAGAACTCTATTAAAATGGCCCAAAGAATTGAATAGATAGTTATTAAATGAAGAAACAAAAATGGATAACAGATAAAAATGTTCAACAGACTAGATATCAGTGGCTCACGTTTGTAATCCTAGCTACTCAGGAGACAGAGATCTGAGAATCACAGTTCAAATCCAGGACGGGCAGACAATTCCATGAGACTTATCTCCAATTATCCACCAGAAAACCAAAGTGGTGCTGTGGCTCAAGTGGTAAAGCGCTAGCCTTGAGCTGAAGAGCTGAGGGGCAGTGCCCAGGCCCAGAGTTCAAAACCCATGACAGACAAAAAATTCAATATTTGGAACCATCTGAGAAATATGAATTATTAAAATCCCAATAAGAAATCACCTTACACCTGTCAACTTGGCTATTACCAGAGATGAAAGATAATGAGTTTCAGTGGGAATGTAGAGAACTGAAAACACTTTGATCTGTTGGAGGTATTATTGCATACAGTTATTTCAGAAAACAGTATGTAGATTTCTAAACAAACATAAAAAGCCAACAAGAACAAAAAAGTAAATTAAAAACAGTAATCCTACTATATCCAAAAGAACTTGAATCTATTTGCCAAAGAGATGTCCACATCTTCATGTGCACAGTTATTCACAGGAGTGAAGACAAAGAATCACTGTCTTCATAAACAGATGTCTGGATCTTGAAAATGGGACCTCTATACTCATGTAATACTGCCCAGTTGATAAATATAGGTAATTTCTTCTGTGTTCCAGCATCAATGAACCTAAGGGACATTGTGCTAAGTGAAATAGCCAGGAATCTAGACATGAATAGAATGTGATCTTAATTCTAGGATCAAACTAAACATTTGAATTCATAGAAATTAGAGCGAAGTATATACCAGAATTGTGAAATAGGAAAGTCTGTGTATTGGTGAGGAAAACGTGGTGCTTGGCAGTGGGTGCCAATTTGAGAGAAAATATAATCTCTGTGGCTCTATTGAAGAGAATGTTGTAGGTTTCATAAATAGCTATGAGAAGATTTAAAATATTTTGCAACAAAGAAATGATCAATCTTAGTGGTAATAAATACGCTAATTATTTTGATGTATTCTTTCACATGCCAATCTATAGCAAAGTGTACCTCACATTGTATCCCATAAATATATAAAATTATTATTTTTCAGAAACAAATAATTAAAAGCAAGTCATTCAAGATTTCACTTTACCAAGCACAAATGGAATCCATTTTTACAATTGTCTTATAAAAAATTCTAGTGAAATTGCTGCATGTATTTAAGAGACTTACCTCTTATTTCAGAATAAGCTTTAAAAAAAATCTATCACTTTATCCTTTAGACAAGGTTTTAGGGAAACAAAAAGCCATTTTTGAAATAGATTGTTTTCTTCATATATGTCTATTCTTACAGAAAGGAGAGAAACATTTCTGTATCTATCCTTACAAAAGAGAAAAAATCATTTTAGTTAATACCTTCTGGCCATTGACTAGGGAGAAATGGAAGGAGTTGAAACCTAAAAAATAACATTATCACATTTATTAAATTTCATACAACTTACCCAGGAAGTGTAATTCTGGATAACAGATTGTCTCAGTGCTGTAGATAAGTTATAGTCTTCAGAACTGTGGTGTGTTTGGTGTGCAGCCCACATAATATTAACCTCTGCAATACACATAATTTGAAATGAAACAAAAGATGAAGAACAAGCAGCTTCAATGTCCAGTTATACGGATTGTGTCACTGAGTAAGGATGAAAAATCTACAGCAACTCTGAAAAAGCTAGCTAATATACTTGTGATTAAAAAAAGACACCTCAAATCATTTTGGGAACTAGGCAAGTATATAAATTATAAATAAATAAAAAGTTGAAGCATAGCCAATAACTATGTGTAGTGTGTGTGACATAATTAAATACCACCAGCAAAATCAAATGACTTCTAAAATTTACACTTTGCTAACATATACAACCTGACAGATCATAAAAGCAAACCAATAATGTTGTAACAGTATAGTAATTGGATGTTGATGATTTTTCAGTATGTGATAACGTATTTGTAATTAAAGAAGAATTCTCTGATGGGAAAAATTGGCACACATATTTTGGAACAAACATTACATAATATTATTTCCTGATGGCTTTTGGAGAAGTCTTAAAAACTGTTGGAATAATAAGAAAGCATGGTAATATTTGTTCCTAGGTTTGATATTTCATTTAAGTTTTCAGATGAATATTATCAAATAGTTGCTTAAAGATATATACCATTTCTACAATAACCCCACACAGTTGTGATTTACCCTAATAACAAAGAAGAAAATAAATGTTTTCTGTCATCAAGCTTGACCAAGATTACCCATTGATTCCCATGTGATTTGCACACATCAGAGGTTTAACTTTCTTACCATTATGCCTCTGTAATAATTACTAAGTCAGAGGAAAGATGATTGATTTTATTTTTCTGACCACTTTCTTCTTTTGGAAAATTTCCTAAAATAATCACAGGCCAACATGCTACACTAGATTGTATTGTTACATTTTTTTTCTCCTTAGTGCCAATGTATGCTTGTATGCTTGAAAACTGAACAGTGTGTTTAGAAACAGAAATATCAGATTATTGGTCTTTCAAATAGATATAAACTAGCAGTGAATTGACATGCATATGGCAGAATTATTTGTTAGAGGCATATTTTTATGTTTTATAAGTAATATATTCATATATGTGAATATGAATTATATCCAGGTTGACTTATTGGTGATTGATTTATCAAATGAAAGCTCTCTGGATATTTTTAGGGAGCTAGAAAACAAAGTGTGCAAAGTGAAAGTGTTACAGTAAAAAAGTAACAGCTCATAGATACAGGACCGATGAGGTAATAAGAAAGATTCTGATTATATCACCCATCCTATCAGCTATGTTTTACAAGTAGGAAAAGTATTTTCATTAACTACCAGCTGATTGGTGTTTTAATCATTCCTAACAATAGTACTGCATTTATATCCAGCAATTAAGGAAAATATTCTTACCCTATGGAAGAATAATTTATTATAATAATTTCTAAATTTATCTAGGAAGAATCTTTGGAATAATTCAGAAACTTAAACTCTGACTTACCTATTATCATGGATAACTTAATGTCCTAAATATAAAAACACTCATACGGTACTTTATACCTTCAGATGTTGTGTGGGAACTATTATAAGGAGTAAGAAATTTGATTACTGTCCTAGTTTTATATGACTTGCATATGCTTTGGGTCCTTAAGGTTTTTTAAACACCATTTTTTCTTGATCACACACCCATGACTGAATATTTCAAAGCCTCTTACTTAAAAGTATCTTCATTACAAATCAGCATTTTGACTATTTTTGGATCTTTCAGAATTTAATTTTTCATATTATTCATCATAATGCATTAAAAATTGAGTTCAGACAGGAGCAGGCTAATCAGATGAGGTTAAAGTAGGAGGAAATAATATGTATTGGAGCTACTTCCTTATGATGGCTGCATAAGCTAATAATGGAACAAAGAATCTGTAAAGGTGGAGGTTAAAGACCTGTCTCTTTGGTTGTTTTGAAAGCATTTACTTCCTATCACAAACTGTGTGTAACACAAGACTTCCCTGAAAGAGGCCAGCTGAACAAACAGGGTACAGCCACAGGAGCTCACCGCCTTGCCTCTGGTCCCTTTTCAGAAATGGGAGAAACAAATTGGAAATCTAGAGCATTTTTCCCCTCACATTTTTATTCAATTTAATTAATAGAAGTAAATTATTTTTGAAAATCATTACAGAAATGTTCTTAATAGAAATTGTCCCAATAGTCCTTCTATGAATAAAATGAGAAAAAGCACAGATACTTTCATCTTCCCTAATAATTGAATGGTTGAATTGCCTGCAATAGGGAATGAAAACAAATTTTAAACAGAAAAAGGTATTTTGGTTAAACTTCAATCCTAATATATTGGTTCCCCTATGAACAAATTCATAAGCCTGTGGTATGTTTTTTTTACTATTCAGTGACAAATGAAAACAATTGTGCTCCTTTCTAGTACAAATTACAGATCTGTGTAAATGTATTTCAATACTTAATAATTCTGTTCACTTGGCCAAAATTTAATGCAAAGTTTGAGTGTGATATTTTCTTGAGTTGGTTATGTTTTTCAATTTTGTAAAATCCACCCTTTTAATGTTCAGTTCTATAAATTTTAACAAATACAGCTCTGTAATCACCACACATACAGATTAGGTTATATCACCACAAATTCTCACCTTCCTTTGTGATTGAGGACAGGAAAATAAAAGATTCACCCTGACTGAGGGCATGGGATTATGGATGTTGATCTGACAATAGTGAGTGATGTATCTTCAAGGACTACAGGAGAAATGTGGACCATTAAGAGTCAGAGGGACGGCCCTATAGATGACTGTCATCTCCAAATATTTATGCATTTTTAAATCCACCCCCACCTCCAGTTATAACAATTATTTTGGCAAAATGATGGGATGTTGATATTAAGTTATAACCAATAGTAGCTTATGCCTTAGGCATTCTTCTCTTATAATCTCAAATGCTGTCTGAATAAAGACAGCTGCTGTGATATAATGTGACCTTTGAAGAAGAGTGTAAAGCAGAAAACTAGAAAGGAATCTGACTAATAAACAAGCAAGTGCCAGGAGGAATTGAATCCCCCCAAAATCAAGAAAATAGGATTATAAGCAAAGCCTCCCTCCTATCCTCCAAAGTTGATCCTTTAGATGGTATTGTAGCCTGTAAACACGTTTATTTATACAGGGCATACAAGGTCATAAGAAAAAAGCATCCATCTAAACAATACTCTGATTTATTTAAAAATATTTCATTTTCTTTAAGCAGTTGGATACAATATTTGTCATTGAACAATGCAGTTTATCAGTATAATGCATCTTGATCAATGTCACCTCTTTTGACATTCTTACCCATCCCTCTCAATCCACACCTTCCCTCAGTTTTCTTAATTATGTAGGTTATACATTGAATTTTGATGCCACTTCCCCCACCTTCTTCTCTTCATTTGTTACTCCTCTCCTGTTGACCCAAATCCCACATCTTTCAAGTAACCATTTCCTGGTATTTATTCTGTTGAACAGTGTTTTTGCCTTGTAGTACTCACAGAAACTATCAGATTATGGATGCTTCTTCTTTTAATCTAATAATTTACTATGAAGAAAACAATAATATTTTCACCAAATCCTGTCACTTCAATCCACAGCATCCACTGATTTGTGTTTTCTTTGAGAGTTTGCCTTTTAGAGAATGTCATATAAATGGAGGCATAGATATTTTATTTTATTTTTATTTTTTTTAGAATTCTTTTCTTTTATTTTTTTTGGGTCTGGTCCTGGGGCCTGTACTCTGGGCCTGGGCCCTGTCCCTCAGCTTTTCAGCTCAAGGCTAGGGCTCTACCACTTTTTTTTAAATTTATTTTATTTTATTTGTGAACATACTGTACAGAGGGGTTACAATTACATGGGCAGGATAATGCGAACATTTCTTACCAAGCATTGCAGCCTCCTCCTTTGTTTATCCTTCACATCCCTTCCCAGCCTCCCCCCTCTCCCCTCCAGTTCCAATTCTTCCCCCCCACCCCCACCCCCCCACCCCACACCAAGAAACATAGGCCCCATGGTTTCCCTTATTTGCAATATCTAGTATATGTATGAGTCAAGAGGAAAAGGTCAGATAATGTGATGTTAGGAAAATGAACCCTTAGATATGTATTTTAATGTTTTTTTCTTTCATGCATGTGTTTCTAATGCATTTATAAGATTATGTCTTTGTTGCTTTGTATGTCCCTCCCCCACAGTATAACCCCTGCCTTCACTATATTTGATGTCAGTATAACTTGTGGAGGAGATGGGGAAAAACAAGTCATTTAAGGATACAGGTGGACCTGTTGCAACAATGAGAAGTACAAGTTGTCAAGCATAGATATTTTAAACATGTTCTATCTGCCTTATTTTTGACAGCATAAGATGTTAGAAATTCTCCCATTTTTATTGTTTAATAGTATTCCATTTGTATATATGTGGTATTGCTCGGGTTTGTTTTGACTTATTCATTAGTTGACAACTATCTGAATCGTTCATTTTTAAAATTTTAAAAATTACTATCAACATTATCAACACTGAGCTTTTTTTGAACAGACGTCTTTAACTCGGCTAAATAGCTAAGGATAGGATTACTGAACTATAAAATGTGCATACATTTAGCTTGTCCACAAATGGTCAAACTTTTCCAAACTGCTTATGCATTTTCCTTTAGCTTCAGGAGCATGAGAAGAGAACTCCAGTTATTCTACATCTCAAAAAACACTTGAAATCAGTCATTTTAAATTTCTTTGATAGCTATTATAATAAATATGTTGTAGTATCACACTAAAAGGTTAATTTTCATTGCTGTAATGGCTAATGATATTGCTCTATGTCTATTTGTCATCTACATATGTTCTTTTAAAAATACCTACTCAAGGGTCTGAGAAGGTGGCTCAGTGGTAGAGTGTTTGCCTTTCATGCATGAGGTCCTGGGTTCTATTCCTCAGTACCACATAAGCAGAAAAAGCCAGAAGTGGCACTCTGGATCAAGTGGTAGAGTGCTAGTCTTAAGCTGAAGAGCTAAAGACAATGCC